GGCTGCCGCACACCTTTACCTCCCTTAGCCGGTTGTAAGTCTGATAAAGGGATAAGGTTAGGTATGACGCTAGCTAGCAGTTCCATCCAGTAAGAAAGAATAAGTCGCTCATTGCTACTTAAACTTCAAAGCTTAAACTTGAAGCCCTATGTTACACTTGAGAGGCAAAAGAATACAAAGAAAAATGTTACCTATTTGACACCATAACTGAGAGGTGGTATTTACTACTGATTGATAGAACTGTTATAAGTATTTGGAAATCTGTCATTCTTACCAGTAGATGGTCAACAATTTCTTGGGCTTTTATTTGATTCAGCTCCATAAAGTGAGTCATTCTGCGTAGCCCACTGATGGGGATCTCCTTCTTGATAAGGTGGAATAACCAAAATGTGGTTTCGAAATACTCTTAGCAGTTGGTAAAATATGCCATCTTATTATTCTCATTCAGAAATGACACCATTACATGCAATTGCTTGAGAGTAAGGGAATGTTTTAAATTCCCTTCAAGTTCGTTTATACTGAGTAATTTGATTTATTGAACAATGTAATATTGATCCGTGGTGTATAGTTTCTCTAATTATAGCGATAAGCTGGCGATGTGAAAATTATTATATGTCAGAGTTAAAACGTTGTCAATTTCTACTTTGAAGAGATTTCTTTACAAATAAGGCTATTGTCGATATGTCGCTAGCTAGTTGGAAGTGTACACCCAATGTGTGTTTGGTTCTAGTCTACGGCGTAATCTTTCTTTGTAGTGGAATTTGAGCATATGTTGAATGAAAGTTGACTGCTCTTCAAATTATGTATTCAATAGCATAGATAGTAAACACTTAAAGCAATCAAATTGTGGAGTTTTACCCTTAATATTGAAATTGTTAAATTACTGCAACTGTGTCTCAATAACTAAGACATTGTAATTTAGCAGTTGTATTAGTGGTTTGATAAGTACTACATCAGTCGTAGTTCGGGCAGGCCAGCGGTGCCATCAGCCCTGACTCAAAGTGCCTACCTTATTGTTATGTGCCTTTTACTTCAGTCCTTCACACAATATTAAAGTTGTCTTGGGTTACATTGTTCTAGTTCTTTTAAAACTAAGGACGCAAGCAGTTATTCGCTTCACAGACTGTTTTGTTAATGTTTCCTGCGTAATTACTATTATTATTTTTTAAAATTCGCTTAACTAATAAACTCAGGCATTTTACAGACTTTTGATTTTTTTTTTATTTACAGCTTGATTCCACACTGTATTTTTCGTACAAGTATATAATTTTCAGCATGGATATCGGTAGCCCAAATTTTGCAGGCCGACCATATATATCAGGTGTGCGTCGGAAGGGGATCGAACCTCGGACCATGTGTATGGTCGGCGAGAGTCCTAACCATTGTGCCACCGACGCACACAATAGATAAGTTCAATCACTACTTAACTGGAGATTTGTTACGATAGGGCAATGGCAGTTACTACTTTTAGTCAAGTATAAACTGTTGAAATAAACTCTTTTCGGATAGGCATAAAAGTACATGTTGTTTTCCTCACTTGGTTCTACTTAAAATTCATCGTTTGATCACTGTTCTTTGAAGTGATTTAGTTCACTTATAGATCTGTATAGTTCATAAAGAGTAAATGAAGGCTGCTTTCCGTTACATAGTTCACTTTCTACGCAACTTGTCAAGAAAGGTGTTTTTTTTCTATTGACAAGAAAAGTTCTATTCTATCTATTTGCATAAAATTAAATGTCATAGCTTTCATAGAGGGCACTAAGTTGAACCTTAGGAAATCTTTTTCAGGTCATTGTCTACTTGTTACTGTGTTAATACTGTCAGTATTATTATCATTATCATTACCCCCACCACCATGGAAACAGATATCTCAGTTATATGCCTATCATCTTTGATTGACCTCACTTCTCACAATTGTCTTCATTTCACTTCTTTGTAAAAACTGAAATCTTGCATATTCATCATCACTTCTTTCCTCTTTTTCGTTTTCTCTCTCTCTCTCTCCCTAATAATCCCTATTTTTCTAGGATCTCTTGGCCTTTAACGATTCTGCTTATCTGGTGTTGTCTTCCTCAACAATATGACCGGATTAGCTTGACTAATATAGTATCTAAAGTCTTAGGCTCAATAATCATGCGTAGACTGAGTGGTGCTCGGGAAGCACAAACACGAGAGAGCCAGGCAGGCTTTAGACCAGGAAGAGGGTGTATTGATCATATCTTCACCCTCCGACAGATTCTAGAACATAGGCATTCCTACCGGCGTCCAACAATCATTATATTTCTTGACCTAAAGGCAGCATTCGACTCTGTCGATCGGGAAGTTCTCTGGAGATGCTTGGCTGTAAAGGGAATTCCAAGAAAATATATTGCACTGATTAAGGCACTCTATTCGTACTCATACAGCCAGGTGAGGGCTTACGGCGAGCTGTCATCTGAACTGATGACGACCAGTGGTGTCCGTCAAGGATGCCCATTATCTCCTTTTCTATTCAACTTCATCATAGATGTGTTAATGGACTTAACCCTAAGTGACTTCAGCGACTCAGGGATTGACTTGCTACCGGGGAATAATCTCGTTGACTTGGAATATGCAGACGATATAGTCCTTCTAGGCGAAGACGCTGACGAAATGCAGAGTCTTCTAAACACCTTGAGCCGTAATCTACGAATGTTTGGCATGCGATTCGCTCCCGCCAAATGCAAGATGATGTTACAGGACTGGACTACATCGACGCCTAGTTTAAAAAGTGAAGTGGTAGAGCACGTTGACCGCTTCACTTATTTGGGAAGTACCATCAGCCCCAACGGGCTGATCTCTGACGAAATCTCAGCACGAATACAAGGGGCTCGTTTCGCATTTGTTAGTTTACGCCGACTCTGGCGTAGACGAGATGTTCGACTATCGACCAAAGGGCGGGTGTACTGCTCATCAGTCCGCTCCGTCCTTCTTTATGGTTGTGAGACCTGGCCACTGAGAGTGGAAGACATGAAAAGACTAGCTGTCTTTGATCATAGGTGCCTGCGTTCTATTTCCCGTGTAAAGTGGCATAATAAGGTGAGCAACATTGAGGTTAGGCGTAGAGTTCTAGGTAAACAGGGGAAATCAATCGACGAAGTCGTGAAGTTACAAAGACTGAGATGGTTAGGACATGTGTTACGTATGCCAAGCTATCGCCTCCCTCGACGAGCAATGTTAGCGGATATAGGGTCAGGCTGGAAAAAAGCTAGCGGCGGTCAAACAAAAACTTGGCATCAGTCAATGAAATCCACAACAGTTGGTCTAAGCCACGTAGGAAGGTGTAGACCTCCTGGCTGGGGTCCTCGGGACGGTAAAAATCTATGGTTGGAAACAATTGGTGACATGGCTCAAAACCGTTCTCAGTGGCGCAGATGCATCCACTCCCTGTGACTTATGATCTTCAATGAAACTGTTTTGTATTTCTTTATTACTCCTTTGTCTCACACCTCTGCTCACTGTTTCTATTATGCTTTTCTTGTACTTTCTTCTCTTGCTTCGCGTGCTACACGGAATGTGGCGACTTGAACTTCCGCACATTTGTGCAAAGTTCTATGTCGAAAACAGACAGACAGACAACAATATGACCTTTTTAGACTGGAAATTGAACAATTGGATTTTAATTTCGTTATTATTATGGTTATTATTATTAGATTAACCTTTCAGGGATTAACTTAACAATTGAAAATATGTGGAAATGGCATCCCTAATTGGTGGAAAATGATTATTAATATTATTCTTGCTTTCATAGGCAAAAATAACTTTATATGTGGAACTGATAATTTATTTTGTCAAAAATACTTCATCAATATTTAGGAGTGATAGCTTATAATGTATAAGGCATTATTGCTATTTGATAGGTGGTGGACTAACAATGGAATCCACAATGAGCATTTCGTCTTATTTGTGGCTTGTCAGCTAGGTAACGCTTTGATGTTTGAAACGATGATAAAACCATCACTCACTGAAGATTGAAGGTACATCCAGATGACGAGTCCCAAGTAGGACGAAATGTGCATCTTTGACTCCATTGTTAGTCATAATTCCTGAAATAACATCATGTTAATTCTCAGTTACCGTTTAAGCATCCTTACTGGGTACAGACATGTTAACAGAAACCGAACATTTCGTTCCAATGTTATCAGTCAATGAGAAATACGAAATTAAATTAGATAAGACGGTATTCTGTCAGAGTTCGTCAACCAATCAATCTTATCATCTCTATATAATTATTTAGTTAACTCACCGTTTGTATTAGGGTTATGTGTAAGAATGATACCTATGTATATTTAAAGAAGAAACTAATATTATCTCCATCAATAAAATCTTTGGTCCGTTGGTCTTATACGGAAAATGTAAGCTTTTGGTTAAAAATTAATACAAATGCATCTGCATCTTTCTCTTATGAATACCTTCCTATAGCATCTACTTTGACTCACCGTAATATCCTACTTTAGTTGTCTTACGATTATCAACAATTGTTCATGATTTTCTTTAGTTAAGCACTTCTCTTATTTTCTAACACTGCAATTTCCTGTCGGGATTTATGACAGTCTGGAGTTTTAGGCAGTTATATTTGACTGTATGGTTTTAATATCTCTTCTTTGCTTAACTGTTTTTATGAAATATATATATATATATATATATATATATATTTATATGTACCTTCCTTCGCTTATCAAGTGGAACGTGGTGTTTCACACTTGACCTTTTATGGAGTTGGTTTACTGTTCTCACATCTAACTCCCGTCTTTATTAGGCTTACTGATGACTAAGTGAGATTTAGGAGTGCATCAGTCAAAAATCGAATCCCGGACCATGTGTTTGGTTGCTGGGCATCCTACTACTTTACCACCGATGCATCTCCCTCTCCCTCTCTCTCTCTCTCTCTCTCTATATATATATATATATATATATATATATTATTTGGTTTAGCTTGGTGATTACGCTATTATTATTTTTTTCTTTTACTTATACTCCAGGCGGAAACTGATTTCTCACGTATCATAAATGAAGTTGATCCCGGCCATACAGGTTATATATCATTTGATGCCTTCTTAAACTTCATGACACGGGATAACGTGGATGAGGCAACTGAAGAACAACTTATTCAGTCATTTAAAACAATGGGAGGAGATAAGGTAAATCCTTATTGATAAATTTATTACTTCATTCACTTATTACTTATTTTCTACTGCGTTTATTACTTTTAGGTTTTGTTAATTTTATTTCGATTTCAGCCGTTTGTGAAGTTATTCTTCACATATAACATTCCAACGTTTTTAATGACGAATTCTTTGTAGTTGACGCATACATAACTTGATTCACTTTCACTCATCATACCTAGTGTTTAAAAATACCCATTAAGCTACATATAAGAAGAGGCTTTCAATGAGGAGTTAATCTTTTCACCGATATCATTCTTATGCTGTGTGATGCCATATATGTAATAGGTTTTTATAGTGACAGAATGGAATGTTGTTTTATGGCAGTTGTTTAGTAAAGAAAGCGTTATTCAGGTAGAAGCTGGGATATTGCTAAATAAGTATATTGAGTGACATAAAATAACTGGCAGGAACGAGTAGAGCTCAAATAAAATTGAAAGGGGGTCAAGTTAAGATCAGTGTCATATGGAGTAGAGACATATAATGGTGGGGAAGAAGAAAAGTAATATAATTAGAAAATTAGGATTGACAAAATGTTGATTTCCTGGTTCGAATAGGGAAGACATTTATAGTGCTTGCGTATTTTTTTACCGAGGTTTTATATTAATATTTTTTGTTCTGATGATGAGTAATTTACAATTAAGATGGTTTTTGGTTTATACTCAAATGTAATATATGCATATATCGATATTTAGTTCTCATAGACATGGGAAAAATTATCAGTGTAATCCTTGATTCTGTTGAACTTTATTGGATAGTTCAGTTTACATAACATTTTCGAACGGTAGTATGGAGACGTGGCTCACTGACTCAAGCACTGGATTTTAAACCAGTAAGCCCAGAGTTCGAAACCCGCTCCATTTACATCAGTCTGGACAACTGTGCAGTGTCATCAGTCTTCAAACAATAACTTTGGCACATGGCCTGGTTCATGAAGAACATGCCCAGGGGAATGAGTTTAGACGAACTGTGAACAACGTTGTGCTCTGCTGTGTGCAAGCAGGATTGATTGATATAAGAATTGGTGGTGATCTGAGTTGTTTAGAGCTGTTGAGCTTAATCGCATTGCAGTGATCAGAAAACGGATCCCGGTGACATGTTCGTAATCTGTCTTCATATTTTGAATTATCCAGTGTATTTATTGTTAGTGTTGTTTGTTGTATTGTTAATTGATTAAAGCTGAATGCATCAAGTGGTATTTGCGCTAAGCTTTCAGCTTGTTCAATAATCACCTCATTCTTTTATGTTCATAGGTTCACTTCCGTCAGGATATTCATGACTACGTTTTGTCGTGTGAGCTGTGTTATTTAATTACTCGTTAGTTGGTAGTAGTCGTTAATTTTGAATGTTTGCTATTTCAAATCATTCCTCCCCCCCTCCTCGTCATCTGGTCAATTCACAATCATTTCCACATTGTTTTCTTTTTCAATTGTTTCAGGGTTATATCACTGCTCAGGATATCAAAGAACGTCTTTCTGCCGATGATGCAGAATATTGTCTTGCGCATATGACTGCAATGAATGGACCAATGGGTGATTCTGGTGCATTGGATTATGAACGTTTCGCCTATAGTATATGTGGTCGAAATCCAATATAATAGTGATGATAAATATGTTTGTTTTTGAAATTGTTTCTCTTTTTTTGTTCTTTAAATTGATTATTTGTCCTACCGCTTTGTCTCTCTCACACATCCATTCATTCCTTCATCTTTTCAATCCTCATTTTTGTGTATTTGCTTTTTCTGGAGAAAAATGCATGTTTCTTTTTGTTTGGTTTACATGTCTTCATATACATATATTTGTAATCCTATATAATATTGAACATAGAGCACTGATGTATCCTCAAGTTCCTGTTTCTTATTTCACCCTTTGAGGCTATTCTATAATTATTATTGCAAACTATAAATCTGTTTGCATCTACCTTCCATTGTGTATTCCTGGAGATGGTTTAATAAATGAACTTATAAACTTATGTGAACATCTAGATGATTTTCAGGTGAAAAAGAAAAGAACTATATAATGCTCAATTAATTGATTGATTGGAATGCTGCTTATGAGTGTCCATCGACCGAATGGATGGTCAGTTGGTTATACTTTACACCAGTTTTCTTTTATATATATATATATATATATATATATATATATATATATATATATATATATATATATACATGTAATATCCTTGTATACTCATCTACTTTGTACTACATTGTATTATTGGCATAGAATATGTACGCAACAATCTGGTTATACAACTCTGAAGTTGTATGTTCCCAGTTATCTTTCCTAATTATCTGCGTATATATATACGTACTCTGGTACCCACTAATGAGATCTATATCTATTGCCTCTCTGTTTTCTCTGAACAAGTAACACACTGCTCCCATATAATTTCCTTATTTTCTTCATCGTCAGGAGGTGGTACTTTCTTTTGGTTTTAGCCACGTCATTTCTTCACTCCTTTTGTGTTCAAATACGTTTTATGTGCTACCGCTGCCTTATCTAACGATAATAGTGTTCATCTGTTGTTTTGCTTATTGTCTCGTTTGAGTTGCTGTTTTTTTGAAGGGAGATTATACACAAGCCTTTGTCTTCTCATTAAATACCATTTGGAAGGAGAGATTGTTTTACAACTGTAAAATAAGTATAGGATAAATTAAATATCTCATATATTCCTCACTTTTATATATTGGGGAAGGAATTGCTCACTTACTAATACTACTACTTATTGCCAGGGTTACTAGCTGCCTGTAACTCTACTTCATTCCTGTCATTTTGTGTGTGTGTGTTATTTTGTCTCGTTTTTTATTTATTTTGGATATTATCTAACCTTTTTTAATAAGAAAAAAGGCTATTTTGAGATTACCAGTGGCGCTTACTTAGCTCCATATTTGATATCTTCCATGTTATACGTGATGGCTCTTTTTCTCTCCTTGTCTAGTCTGATATTTTGTTTGCTGCGATTGTCTCGCTGCCTTCCTCACTTCCCACACAAAAGTCTCTCTCTCCCTCAGCTTGTTTATTTTGTCTGGCTTAATCTCTCTTTTCCTCTCACACTCTGAATTACATTTTTACAAATGAGTAAAAAGACTAAAAAGAAGGACACTACAGTGGCATATTTGCATCCATCATATCCTGAGTTGTAATGTTGTTGTTGTTTTTAGCCACCGTTTTTTATTTAATCGTTATACCATATCGATATAAATTGAAATAAAATAAATCTTGTTTTTTTAGAAATGACTGTTTCTCTTCTTGATTTTTGTGTTCATTGACAGTGGTGACGGTTCACTGACCACTAGGAATGAAGTGTGTGTGTGTGTGCATCTGTGTGTGTTTGTGTATACCGTTGATCTTGTGGTGTATGTACTATTTCTTTGATGGGACAATTTTCACTGGTTAGTAATTCGTCTACTTGTTCAACATTATTTGTGATTCTTTGATTGTTCAGTGTGTTAAGACATACCTACCCATCTTGATGTTAGTAGCCATTATGTATTCTCATTTGTTCGTTTTGATTTGAGAATCTCTAGTCAGCAGGCTGTGACAGTCCCTACTGCCTGTTAGTGGTTCATAAAATTTGTAGTAAATGTCAGCAAATAAGCTTGTAGGGATCATAAATTCTCAAAATGTAAGAGTAGTATGTTCCTAAGTCTAGGGAATATTAAACTAGTGAACATACAAAGCTATAGAATCACACATCAACTCAACCCTGAGGAAAGGAGTATTATTACTATTATTCATCGTTTGAAGATTCAAAGTGGAAGGTAGGGCTTCTCTACTATTTCTTATAGCTGGCTTCATGTCTGCCAACATATTCTCAGTTCCCCTTCCTTATGTTCTCCTCCATGTCGCGAACCCGCCGGTCCCCATTCAGGTTCGACTTGATTGCCTGGCATGTAATGTCACTCAGTGGTCTCATCACTGTATGTCCAGTCCATCCATCATATACTTCTGCATATTTACTGGTCGATAAGTTTTTGGTTCGTTGCACTGCCAGACTTTCTTATTTCTCATTCTTTCTCGCAACCTTACCACCTGGAAAACAGGAAAAAAGTTTTTACGATAGTAATTAAGGGGAAGATAGACTTTACAGAAAGATGCTACTGGATTTCGCATTACACATATTTATAATTTTAAAGAAAAGTTGGGAAAAGATAATTAGTTAGCAGATGTAAAGACATAACATGAACAGAACATTAATACCGACTAATAGTAATATTTTGGTCTATGTAATATTGAAGTAATAGACTTTCGTTAATATTCATTAAGATCATTTTATTATAAGAAGAGTAAGTACTGAAATAGGTCCTATTTCTCAAAGTTCATGCTGGAGTTTGACACAAGACTCGTGATTTTCTTAGTGCTCAAAAGCTGATATCTCATTAGTCTTTTCAATGTTTAGCAGTGGATAGTTCTTCCAGGTTGTAACTTCATCAATTCAATTCTTGTGCCGTATTTCCCTGGAGTCATGATTAAAAATGAAGTGAAAATTTGCCATAGAAAGACTCAGATAATCTACTAGATCTGTGATCATTGCACTGTCATAGCCATTGACCTAAACTACTGCTCATCTATTATCACGTTATCATTTAATTGATTCTAGTGGTATTGAGGTAGAAAGGGTGTGGCAAGTGCTTTCTTTTAAAGGTGATCTTGTTAGATAATTACTAAGTAAAAGAACTTTCACTGGGATAATCAAAAATAATTATTCAATACTACAGACTACTGCAGCAAACTATGTATCCTCTCTTCATAGTTAATACGTACACCACAATGTTGCGCTTTCAGATGAAGCAAACTACATTTTAACGTCATAAGTAGTGATCATTGATGTACAATGAAAGTATTCTGTCTTCGTTGCATTTCTAAAATAAAGGAAAATCTGCTGTGATTTTTATTACTGATTATCATTATTATAATTCCTTCAAGTTCCATTCCGAGTAGGACATGACTGCGTTTCATCCTATTCTCAGCAGTTCTTTTTAGTTGGCTGCACGATTGCCTATAAACTTTCACCTCCTCCTTGTCACCTTCGAACATCCAACATCACGAGAAGAATCTTCTATTGTAATTTTTGTGTTAGGTATTACATTGTGTCGAATTATTTGTCTTAACTATATTTCATTTGGTCAGCCACAAGATATATAAGTTTATGTGTCTTCCATTTCTGGAACCCTACTTCTATTTTTTTTCTTTTTCCAATGATGCATTATGGTAAGATTTCGTGCTTGTGAAATAAAAATTTCTCATATTACAAATATAATATCTTGAGAAGATAGTTCAACCAGTTTTGTAGTCTGGTAGGTATATTTGTGTAAGATTTTCGAACTCTTTCGTTTCTTGTTTACTTTGACGTCTATCCTTTCAGATATTTTGCCTGTTACTGATTATTATTATTATGAGGCTTTCATCTATATACAGATTATTCATTGAATAAAAAAAAACACTTGATTGGATTAATCATTCTGTTAACTGAATTATGTTTTAGGCTATTTTGATTATTCATCCTATTTGGCTTTTTTATTCTTTCAGTGATAAGTGTTGTCTAGTTAGTTGATATATCGATTAGGCATGATATAACCTCATTTGACTGGATGACAGCTATTCAGTTCTGTTCAGTGTAGCTTTTAGTCAGCTGGATAGTAAACTCCTACAATAGTAATCACCACACACAGAGTGTGTATTTATGTACACATTCACTGAAACAAGACTGCTCAGCCATCTAATCAGCCGACCAGATGCCTTGGACTTTATATTTCCTCTACTGTTTTTATTCTTCAATTTATTTTTGCATCATGCCTCTTTTTTCCACTGTATTTAACAACTCCATTATCTGTAGATGTTTCACATTAATGTATTCCGATTGATGACACTTATAAGTCAATGCATGAAGCGTTAGTTCCGTCATTAAATCGGAGGGTTTTCGATAACTTAAGATCCCTATTCGCATCGCGTTGACCTTATAATGGTGGTTATGGTACTCAACATTCATATTTACTCGAGTATAGACTATTGTTGGAACTGTTGGTGGTTGACTGATCCAGATATTTGCTCTACAAGTAAATATTATCATTATTTAGCATTGTGGAAGAGCATTATCACCAGTGTGTTAACATTTAAACCATCAGTCATTTGATGGACTGATAATCATTTTATGGATAAAGTCTTTAGGAGGCATGAAGGTGGCATTTCAAGGCAAATATCATCAAGTAATGATTACATCTTGCACATCGAAGTTCTTTATTTTGGTCTTTGTGGAATTTTCTAAGTGATTTATGTGCATGTGCTAATAGTATCGACTTTAGGTAGACTTTTGTCACACGACGTATGACATATCATTGAGTTGTATAATTACTCGGTATTGATTTGTTCATCGTAGAAAGAAGCTAGGATATCTTACAGTGCTAATGGATCTATATGCTGTCTTTTGGTCTCTGTCGGTAATGGAAAGTTGCTCTTTAATTTAAAGGAAAATGGTATTGTATTAATATTTGGATCCTTTTGAAAGTAAAGTGGCTATTTTTATCCGTATCGAATTCCGTTGGTTAGAATACCTCATCAATTCTCTAAATCCTCATTCACGTGATGACCTCCAGAAGACATTTTTCACCTAAGTAACTGAAAGCCACAGCACAGAAGTTAAATCAGACGTATCTTGTCTAATGGGAATGTGGGACACTACGCTTTGCTTCGTGTATTAATTTTTATGAGCTTTGAGAAAGCGCATATATACAATGCTTAGTTAACCACGTATAATTAGGTTTTTACCTAAACGCATTTTCTGACTTTGAATGATGATAATTAACCAGCATTCTCATCAGAGGATGTTTAGTTTTCCTAGAAGGCGAATGTGTACATGAAATCTGTTTAGTAATGATATTTGTAATTCACCTACCAAACAAACCATTAAACAGTTTTTCACAAATAATATGTTAAAAGAAGCTTACTCACCATGTAAACTGTTATACTGCTTCTAGTATGGACACTTTGACGATATCTTAATATTAATAGGATTCTGTTTGGTTGATGTTGGGTAGCAGGTGAGTCTAGGGTGTGTATTTCACCCTATTCGGGCGTCGTAAGCTGGTTACACTCGCGGGTAAACCCCATTGCATAACAGGTGGCTCTCGTGATTTAGGGGATGTTAAAATTAATGAATGCAGAACTCGAGTTATAATGGGAATATTTATTTATTTGTTTTGATTACAGCTTGATTCCACACTGTATTTTCGGTACAAGTATGGAATTTTCAGCGTGGATATCGGTAGCCCAAATTTCGCAGGCCGACCATAGATATCAGGTGTGCGTCGGCATGGGCTCGAACCCCGGACCATGTGCATGGTCGGCAAGAGTCCTAACCACTGTGCCACCGACGTGCTCACTGAAGATGCATGCACTTAAGACTGATGAGTCCTAAACAGGACGAACTTGCATTCTGAATTCCGCTGCTATTGACTGTGAACTAAATAATATACTGTTATTCCAACTGAGTCTTTAGATTTTTGCCTCATTTCATTAAAACGAGACATACATAGGCGGCTTCATCTAGTAATCACATTTCTCACGTGGCTAGTAGATTTGGAAGTTCCTTGTTCATTGATATTACAGCATATGATAAGTTTAAGAATGGCTTGATAAACAACATTAGCAGATGACAAATGTGTCAGTCTGATGAAAATCGTGGTGTTTCTTTCGATGAACTTTTTCAGCTTGGAAAAAATACAATGATCGGTTAGTTTTCACTGATAATATAGGGTTCGGATCTCGCTCTCCGCTTATTTCAGACTCTGAGCATATTCGTAGTATCATCAGACCTCACACAAGTGCGGCTCATAACCCGATACCAGGCAACTGCATTCTAATTCCAGAAAAGCCATTCTAACTCAATTCAGTGGAATACTTCAGCTTTTATTTATTTTTATTAAATACTCCTAGTCGATATGAATAGCTTAATGTCATGATATTACTAACGTTATCATCCTACCGAGTCACTATGGAGTTATTTTTGTGATGTCTGAATTGGTTAGGCTGTTCTTGGAATAATTCACTGATGCTCTCTTCCTTGAGGTATCTCAGGTTACAGATTCCCATGATCTACTGCGTAAATTTCACTTTTCATTGGTAAATTCTATTGGTAAGTAGTACATCTGGTACTCATCTACAAGTTTTAATCACTGTTGAATTTACTCATCGATTAGATTGGCCACTTTGTCAGTTTACTTTACCCTTGAGTTAATGTTAGACCCTGGTTACTTAATTCATATTTATTGAAGACTGATGATACTACCCAGCTGCTCAGGCTAAAGAAGTTGGAGTGGGAATTTGTGGTCGGCTATTTTATTCAGGCCAAATTGTTTTGAAACTGATAACGTATTGTATTTCTGATATTCATCAAAATATGAGGGATGACAGAATTAGACCCAATACTATTTTGACTAAGAATTTAAGTTGATATCTCAAAGAAATAATTCAATTTACTACTCTAAGGTACATATTTTATCTTAATAATTTGTGTCTTTTTTCCCCTGCAAACAAATATTATAGAAAAGATTTTCGAGTTAGTCGCTTACTTAAAATAAATATCTAAAAAATCGCATATGTGCGTCACTCTGTGCGTCACTGGTTCAACAGTAGAATGCTCACCTGCCACACAAGAGATTCGGAGTTGCCTCCTGGCTGATGCACTTCTAAATATCGCCTAGTTTACTTTCCTACAGTAGGTTTAAAAAAAGAGGGAAAGTTAGGTACCGCACCCAGTGGTACTGAAACTTCAAAAGATAGAGGCCTTAAGGGTCCAATTTGAACAGAAAGAACTGAGAAAATGTCACTTTTAAGCGTTTGTCTGTTACCACTCTAATACCAGTAACTTCATTCAAATCCATTCTCCATATATCAACCGTACCTTTACCTTTACCTTATACATGTAATTTTTATTCATGAAAATCTGTTTATTTCATTATATGCCTAACTAAGTATTATGTTATTTCTACAGATCTGCCTAATCTGTCCGTACATATCAATTTAAGGAAACGCAATGGATGACTTCTATAATGATTCCTTTGGTGACCAGTGTCTCATGGAATTGGACATAATCAATACTGTATCAACAGTAACTGATACTATTAGTGAACCAGTTTCACCGGCTAAGAATATTACAGTGAACAATCAATTGCCAGAGGAGAATACACCGTCAATACCAAGGATACCTGACCATTTCATTGATTTCCCTTATCCTAAACCTTACACTCAACAATTAGAATTAATGCAAACTGTATATAAAACACTTGAAACAACTTCTTGTGGTGTGTTTGAAAGTCCTACTGGTACTGGTAAATCACTCAGTCTGTTAACAGCATCACTACGTTGGCTATTAGATTATAATACTAAACAATTAATGCGTTTAGATCACCTTCAAGGTCAAATGAAATCAATGACAACTTCAAATGACAATAATAAAGAGAATAATAATACAACTGTTGATGATTGGATAAAAGATTTCGAAGTAAATCGTCAATTGAAACGACAGATTGAACCACAAATTGAAGATCTCATAGTCTACCAGTCTAGTTTACAGTTGATTGAGAAAATTAAGCTAACCAAGACTCCGTCTTCATCATTGTCAGCCTTACAACTTACTGATCCTCCATCGAAAGTTAAACAACCAGAAAGTACTTCTGAAACTGTTGACGTTGAAAAGTTGGAGAATTTTATCAAAGTGACTAATGAAGAGGATTGTGATGCTTTGGACGCTGATGATGATCTATTTCTGTGTGAACAGAAACCAGAAGTAGAACAATTTAAATTACTTGAAGACATAGATGAGTTGAACGCCAGCGAAAATGAATTTGACCAGTATTCGAAAATTAAACAGCAGCCAGACAACGGTTTACTCCGTATCATTTATTGTAGTCGTACACATTCACAACTGGGACAAATTGCTAAAGAATTTAATAAATGTAAATCTCTGTTTGATAAAGTCACAATGATTCAGCTATCATCAAGATATTTATTATGTACAAATCAACAAGTCTATGAATTAAAACATTCTGATTTAATAAATATCGCATGCCTTGAATTAAATCGACCGCGTAATCGTGATGAGAAACAAATAAAAAAATTCAAGTGTCCAATGCATAATTTATCCGCCATAAATAATCTAGCTAATTATTTGTTAGTAGGCAGCAGTTCAGCTATGGATGTAACTAGCATTATAAGAAATAATCAAGAGACTAAGCCTTCTCGTACATTGAAACCCATGAACAGTAATAAGAATTCTCTGAATAATCGCCGTAAAGACCATACAGAAGATTTGCAGCTATTAGATTCTCATATCGGTTGTCCATATTATGCTAATCGTAAAGGTATACCGTTGGCTCAGTTAATTTTAGTCCCATATTCCTTGTTATTACAGTCATCAAGTCGTTCAACGTCTGGTTTAAAATTGAAAAATTCAATTATCATTATTGATGAAGCTCATAATCTGTTAGATGCAATGGCGTCATCAATGTCAGTGAATTTACTGTTGATAAATGATTTGTATAGATTAGAAGAGCTGTTCACTGATTATTTAAATTATTATCGTTCACGATTGTCAACATTTCTAGCCTTAAGATTACGTCAAATGAAACACTTTCTACACCAATTAAAGGCATATTTAAACAATATACATAAAAATATGCTGAAAACATCAATGTCTGCTGATTCCTTCATGATGACTTCATCTAACAATATTATCATTAAAACAGTGAATCAGTTATATTCAGAATCAAATTTAGATAATATAAATGTTAGTGAATTTATAGACTGTTTAGAATATCAACATTTTATTATGAAATTGATTGGTTTCTCGAAATGGTCAAATAGACGAATAAAACAGACGAATTCTTCATCGAATTCACAGCTGACTAATATTTTAGCTAGTATGAAACGAAAATATCCTGGTGATGATAAAAGACAACTGGAGGATGTCAATCAAGTGAGTTGTTATTGGACTTTCTTTTTCAATGCTTTGAAGCAATATGCTCTAAGTAAGGGGGGGGGGCGATTTATGCGTCGGTGATTGAAGAGTAGAATATCTACTAGCTACGCATGTCGTCCCGAGTTCAGTTCTCAGTAGACGCACTCGCCTAACCAGCAGCAAGCCCGATAAAGAGGGAGTGTGGAGCGTGAATACCACAAGCACTACCGAAAATTTGAAGATTAATGATTAAAGCCATATGTCTTCCACGGAGTGCAAAAGATTCTAACCTAATTTTTTTTCAATTATTTTGCTTAGAGATAGAACAACATATTGAAAACGTTATATTGCAAAGATAGAGAATCGAATAAAAACATCTGTTATCATTAGTGTGAATGTCCAAATCAAGTACGCATTTAATGGTTTGAAGAACACCTAGGCATTAGGTATATGACGTCCATTATCATTATTATTAGATATCTGTATTCCCCCTATCAGTAAGAAGTAAAATAAAGTGGTTTTTTGTTGACTGACGTTTCACAGTTTGATTTTATTCCATTCCATGAGTTTCCAGTAGAATATAGGGCTTTAAGCTTTGAAATTTCAGTAACGGTAAGGCTGCTAGCCTCACACCCAACTCCTCTCTATTTTCCAGATTCACCATAGGCGAAGTTTAGAAGTGCGTCGATTGGGACTCGAACTCGGTCTCACTCCCCAGTCCTAATAAGTCTATTAAAGTAATCGTAAACTAGAATTTGCAGAATTTCAGCGTATATACGTGATAACTCGACCTCAGTCCTGTATAATATAATTCTGAGCTGTCTAGCGAGTTGATTAGTAAAAGTAATAATAATAATAACAAAACATCTAATCCTTACAAACCGAACTCTTGAAAATTAATCTGATGCTCGCTAGTGACTTACTACAGAACAGAGTTTCCTGCAGTTCTAGTGAGAATTCGTGACCAGTGAGGTCCATCCAGTCAAGTGTGAGGATGGATTTCCCACCGGTGTGACATTGGTTGTCGGTCGCGCTAAATCACGAATTGACATAAGTTATAATTCACGGGTCATTGAATAGGGTCCCAATGTCTGAATGGTATACGAGCTTGCATTGTAACCGGAAAATCCTGGGTTCGAACCCCAGTGTGTGCGTACTACCGATGATTCCAAAACTAGGATGAAACAGCTGTCCAGTCCTCCGGTGCTGGTTTTCAGTGGTTCTTTAACTGATATCAGTCCGTGGTCAAACTCGTATAAACAAATCTAATCTTTACAAACCAAACTTTTGAAAATATCTGTTCTTATTTCAATGAAACTAAAAATATTCTAAATAATTCATTGTTGTAATTTTTATTTTCACAAATATTTTTTTCAATGAAAGAAGACGTTTCAGTGAATTTTTTGAGATAAAGGTCAGAGTCTATTTGTCCGTCTGGAAAAAAACAATAACATCGGAAACGTGTTCATTTATCAACTGTTAACAACCTGGATAAAGTATAGACAAGAGATATTGTTGACCAGTATTGTATTGGATTCATCTTGCAACCTAGAATTTTGTTGGAAGAGTAGCTATAGTTCACTTTGAATGTTTAGATTGTAAAATAGCCGACATCAATGGTTTTCGGTGAAATAAAATGATTATGTTTCAACCCTATTTTATTTGTTGCCGACGTTTTCTTTTTAAAGTTCATCAAAGGAAAACTGAGCATGAGACTTCTTTTTGTACATGTGTCTTACACAATGCTACAGAAAAAATCAAATAAATCAAGTCCTTGAAACCATTTAGTCTATCATCTTCAGTATCCTACTGTATTGTTTAATGTAGAATACAATTGTAGCATAATCTAAGATGTCATCAGAGGTGATATCGGTGCAAAAAGTATAGAATTATTGGTTTTATGCGCAAAGCATAATGTATGTTTACTAGTTTCGGTTTTGTGAAACAAGTGAAACGCTTTTAATCGTTTCAGGTAATATAGATCAGAATGTATATTAATATCACGTTATTATCATTATTGCTAAAACGCGAACTCGGGACATTAAGAGCACCGGGAGGTGCACCACACAAAATCTCACAGTTTGTGCAGGAGCTGGGATAATGCCGAGATGCCTAGACCCTGAAGCTAGTGGTTGTCCTAAGAAGCCACTTCTCCAAACCTTTGACTTGAAGTGTGTTCCTTGCGAAAGTGGAGCTGGGTTCCTCTGATCCCGGTGATCAAAACGGGTTTATACGCTATTCGATACTTTCGGATTTATTTTTTATTTAAACTCAGAAAAAACTTGTTGCAGTATGGCACCAAGAAGGATGCGCCACACAATAATAATAAAACAACATAGATTCAAAGTAAAAATATAAGTAGAGAACGGATAGAGAACTTCATCTGGAAGGAAAACAGTCATGCTTAACAAGTTCAAACAGTGTTCGTTAGCTATCATCGGGAAGGGAAGAAAGAAGGAAATTGCAACACGTTCGCCATTGATTACGATTCTCGGCCATATCCGATAACGTTTCGAGCCAACGATTTAAGTTATCTCGCGGACCCCAACCGGGGAGTCGTGACGCACCAACTGATGCTAATCTAGCACAAAAATCCTTCATCCCACGTCATGGACTGGCCACCCCTCCGCCCTTTCCATCCCGTCCCAGGGCTAGCGAACAAAGACCTGTACGGAAGCCTCTGGGATGACATTCGCAGCACATGTCCAAGCCACCAGAGCCTGTGTTTCCAGATGACGACACTCAATGAATGGTGATCTCCACTGTGTTCAAACACACGCCGTCGAACCTCAGAGTTACTCACGCAATGATGCCGTCGGACGCAAGCAATCCTGCGGAGACAGCGATGATCGAACACGCAGAGTCACCGCACACCCTCAGCTCGGAGAGGCCAGGTTTCACAGGTGCAGAGCAAGACAGCCCGCACCGAAGCATTGTATACTCGACCTTTGACAGCCAGGCTAACATCGCGACGGCGCCATAGGTGGCTCAAGTTGATGTATGCCACCCTAGTCTTCATTATACAGTTGGAAATCTCATCCGTCACCCCTCCGCCAGCACTCACACAACTACCCAGGTACACAAACTTATCAACAACTTCAAGCGGTTCACCCGCAAGAGTGAGTGCAGGTACAGGCTCCTGCCAATCTTGTAACAGTACTTTGCACTTTCGGATTCTGAGGCCCATGTACACCACTGGGTTGAAACCAGGGTTTTCCAGCTCCCCTAGTTAGACTAGCATGTCTAGCAGTCCAGCTGTAAACTCCAGACCCTCACTTTCACCCTTTCACTCTTGTTAGTAACACCACCTGTGGGGTCTATAAACGAGTGGCCACGTGATAACTTTTTGAGAGGAAGGTCGAAGTCTAGCTACACATAGTTGTACCAGTTCGTTTATGGAAGCTTATTAATACCACAGATATATTCAAAATACCCTGTTTTTATTGTCTTTCGTTTGCTGCTTTCAATATCTCACATTCGCTGATGTTTTGACTGTTGCATTAACTTCTTCGTATTGGAATTCCAACTCACTTGTTTAGTAGACAAGTGTGATAAGTGACGTTACTACTCTATATATGTCAAGTAATGTATTATTAACGTAATATCTCTCTGTTTAAATTTATATTTCAGGTTAATATTGCGAATAAAAGATGTAAAATGGATATCGAGAAATCTGAAGGAATTGGTTCTAGTTTATTTAAATTCCATAGATTTCTTCAGGCATTAGCACAATGTGAAGAAGATGCACGTATAGTTATTGAATTATTCAAGAATTCAACAAAGGCTGATGATATAAAAACATCTGAGTCTGGTCTGCCTACTTCATCGAATGTCAATAATACGAAAGATAATCAAGATTTATGCATAAGTATAATATTTTTAAATCCTGGAAGGTATTTAAAAGGTGAGTTGAGCATTTGAATGAGCTTCAGGTGATATTTTCAGTTCAGTTTAATTCACTTCTTGTAATCATTTGTAAAAAGTAGGGATTTTTCCTGAAGCAACTCAGTAGCCGCTCATTGGCGGCTTTCTTTTTTAATTTTTTACATTCCGAATGGAAAAAACGGCTTCAACCTTTTTCAAAGTCTCTGTATTGTTGGTGTTGTTCTTTCGGGGTGGGTTACTAGACTCACACCCAACCTTACCTCGTTCCCGGACTTACTATCTGTTAGTAAAGAATAGTAAGTTTAGGAGTTTGTTGACCGGGAATTGAACTCTGACCACCCATGTTATTAGCGAGCTTTATACCATTAAACTACCGACAGTGAACGACTTTCATACTACTTGGATGTGAAAACTTCGGGGAACCAAGTTCTAACGCTTGGTTCACTGGTCATCACTTTATAATGTTGTACAGTATCAACTAATCCACACATGCGATGATAACATTTCTTTCTATTTAAATAAAGCAGATGGAAGTTCTGTAATTTGAATTAATTGTATTTGATATACCTAAATTTTGAAGATTGAAATTTCGTAAACATGTTAACCATAAAGATATTTGCTTTTCTTCAATTTTATTGCATTCTTTTCGAAGTCTTATACAAATATTTAGTGAGTTTTTCACTTAAATTTGTAATCCCTTGTTGTTTTCTTTTATTGAACGATATTTTTCGGCATCTGTTAGTATTATGACCTTCTAGAAAACAGTGATCAATGCTTTCCGTCCGGTAAGGCGAAGACAATAATAGCTGCTACTATCATGGCCCAACACCCCTGGAGGATAACATTTTAGCCTTTTGTACGATAAATGCATCAAAAAGCTTCCAACTAGGAGTAGCCAGAAATGATCACGTATATCAAGGCTTATTTTACTACATCCCAATGTTATATTTGCTGGAAATGTTCACATACACTGATGACGCTTGTCAACTAAAGCTACACCAAAGAAAATAGTAACGTTAGACCTCGAGCAGTGAGAAGACAGGCATGCATTGTACCGACAAGAAAACTTTGGACTTCGCGAACAGTTTGTGTCTAGTGTCACAAAAACTCGAAGATCTATAGCAAAAAAATCAAGCTGGTAGAAGGAGCAATGAAGACAGAGGTGATGAAGACAACCAACCAACAACACGCACCAATCACCATCAATGGGAGAAATTCGAATGAATTCACCTTTCCCCCTTACTCAGACAGCATCTTTTCAACTATAGGCGACACGGATAAATATATCAAAGTTATTCAGGATCGAAGAGGCAAAACAGACCCTTCATTAATCTGAAGTCAGTGTGGAAATCTGCTGCACTAAACATAAAGAACAAGATTCAGATTTCCAACACGGATGTCAAGTTAGTTATTATATATGGTTGAGAGACTTGGCACATCACGGAAAGCATTCTCTGCAGGTTTCAGAATTTTACCAAATTTGTCTTCCCATAGTGCTAAAGATCAAATGGCCGGAATGCATTAGCAACAAGGACCTGTGGTAACAAACCATCCAAGAACTGATTCCTGCTTCCTACCGATTACCTCCAACTATCTAATATCATCAAAAACCTATTCGTTTGCAAATATGCAGAATGAAATGGAGATGGGTTAAACACACACTGAAAGGACCATTGAGTGACATCACACAAAAGGCTCTCAAACGGTAAACGACGAGTTGGGTGTGGCTCTGGAGATAGCATGGGGGAATGCGTCGGTGGCACAGTGGTTAGGACTCTCGCCGACCATGCACATGGTCCGAGGTTCGAGCCCACGCCGACGCACACCTGATATCTATGGTCGGCCTGCAAAATTTGGGCTACCGATATCACATGCTGAAAATTCCATACGTGTACCAAAAATACAGTATGGAATCAAGCTGTTATCAAAAAATATAATGATAATAATCTTGTGAGGAAGAGAAGAAAGGTTATGGATTATTGCGGAGTCAGCAATAAGGACAGCAAAGAACAGGTTGAAACGGAGATGTGCTGCTGAAGCCCTATGTTCCACTCGGAACCCAAGGAAACAATAATAATTTGTTTACGTTTTTCGGTGTGTACATTTAAATCTCATGTATATTCATTGTACATATTCAAGTGTAATTCAAATAAAAGTGGGAAGGTTTACATAACCGAGTGAAAAGTTATCCAGACGAAATATAAAAGGTCAAAGGTCACAAGGGATTTATGAAATTAGTAAAAAATAGATGAATGCAAATGTCAAGTTACGTCAAAAAACATTAAAAGAAATTTCGATGAGTTAAGGCAAAAGAGTCAGTCGTTAATGACAGTAACACACTCTTCGTATGATCACAGTTTTAGCAATGTGAGGAAGTCGTTGAGTGCGTTGTCTATTCGCTACCTTATAAGATTGTTTTAGTGTTGATCTAGACTCCTATATCATCTAGGTGCCAAGTAATGACTCTGTTTAACGGACTGAAATCTCTAAGACGTAAACTAACAGCGACGGGCTCAAAAATCATCTCAGACAACCTTCTTTCGGTCCTCCCCACGTGCTTACCACCACATGTGCATATGAATTCATAAACACAGTTGGATTTGGAAATCGGTCTAGTTTATCAAGAGAACCAATTGTATGAAAATTGTTATGCTGATACTCGGTGACGCTCACACATACCGCATATATTAGTTGTTAATCATTTGGTTAGGACTCTCGCCGACCATGCACATGGTCCGGGGTTCGAGCCCGCACCGACGCACACCTGATATCTATGGTCGGCCTGCAAAATTTGGGCTACCGATATCCATGCTGAAAATTCCATACTTGCAACGAAAATACAGTGTGGAATCAAGCTGTAAATCAAAAAAAAAAAATTACATCGATAAGCAGTACCACTATAATTATAGTAAAATTAAATCTATCAACTTCTCGATTACTGTTACTCAACAAACAAGTACAATTTCTATTCAAGTGTTGGTTTGTAGGGATTTGATTGGTTTCAGGATTTCACCATGAGCTGACATTGGTGAGAGAACCATTGGAAAACCACCTGGGAGTACTGGACAGCTGTTTCGTCCTAGTCTAGGACTCTTCATCAGCACGCACACACACCCATTGGATCGGGTCCCAGTGGCTTAATGGTATACGAGCTCGCCTTGTAACCGGAAGGTCCTGGGTTCGAATCCCGACGGGTGCATACTGCTGAAGAGTCCCAAGTTAGGACGAAACAGCTGTCCAGTACTCCAGGGTTTTCCAATGGTTCTCTAACTAATGTCAGCTCATGGTGAAATCCTGAAAGTACAATTTCATTCTGGTTAGTATATATATACTATTAAGTGAATTAACCTCACCTAGTTTACTGGCTGGTTCTCAGCCCTGAAAAAGTGACTTCGTGCATCACAGAAAGCATTTCCAACAGGCTACTGCAGACTTTCATCAATAGTTACCTTTGCTCGATACTAAAGATTAGATGGTCAGATAATTGTATCAGTTTATGACCAGTACACACTACAGATGACCAGAAAGGAAGTTTAATGACGAACTAATCCATAACCTATTACCCAACAGATAGGCAGAACGAAATGGAGACATTGATTGGATATACTCTGAGAAGACTGTTGAGTGATATCGCACACCACTCCCTCGATTGGAACCAGAACGGGAAACGATGAGTTCGGCATCGAAAAGAGTATACAGAAGAGAATGTGTAACAGGAAGACGAAAGCTTATGAGGAATCGTGGGGCCAGTTAAAAAAGACTGCAGGCACCAAAGCTAAACAGAGATATGTGCTATCAAAGCGAAGTGTTCCACTCTTAATCCAAGGGAATAGTAATAATAATAATTAATAATGATGAATCACATCTCTCATATGTGAAATCTAATGGCAATCATTGCTCTCCTTAACATATCAGTAGATGAAGTGAACTTCAATTTCTCGTGGTGCCTCGATCCATGAGTGAGATGATGCTTAAAGTCTGCTACAGTCAAATAACTTCATCATTCTAGCACACATTATATCAACATCGCGTGACATACAAATTCAATTCGATTAATGCCTTGCATAGATCACTAAAGTGCTTATATTCTTTAATTTTGTCATGCTGACTTCAAATGTCGGTGGAATTAAATTTAAACATCTCATGCTGTAATTAAACCATTCTTCTAATAATGATAATGATAATAATAATAATTATTATTGTTACTGTCGGTTTATTTGTATTCAGTCATGTGAATGTAGTAGCATCATAGTGTATTCAGCAATGTACTCTGTGTGTTTCAAAGTGTAAGTTAAAATGTTTTTATTTTGGAAACAATATTACTAATCTCTTTCTAATGTAAACATGTGTGCATGCACGTAAGTATAAAATCATAGCGCTAGGGGTTGAATCAACACGAGATAATTTTCACACTGATTGAATGAGAATTGTAGTTATAGGTGAATGCAAATACTTTTAATATTTAAAAAAATAAACAAGCAGTTCCTTTCCCAGTTGTGGTGACAGCTGGCTTTTAGTCAAAATTGGTGGATAGCTATTTACGTCAATGTTTATGTCCCCAATATTGGTAGTGAGAAAAATGAGAACAAAAGCTTTGCGTAGGCGGATACAATTTACATATAGATGATTTGACATTCAAGAAACAGTCACAAAGAGATGCAAGGTTAACTTTTTGTGAGAAACTACCAATGAGAAGACTGTGTTTTTCTGCTAATATGTACATGAAAATCTATAAATATGTGTTGATTTCCTTAATAAACGATCTGTTGCCTGGCCCTTGTCTTCTGTTGTTACACAGTTAGTTTTAGGCAAAATAACATGTTTACTAGGGATTTACTCACCGGCTTTTCTAGTATACATTTCTTAACACGACATAGACATTCTAAGAGGTTACAAGTTTTCTTAAAGCCAAGAAGCATGAATTCTGCCTCAGGGAATTCTTATCAACTGTCAGGCTGTGTTGTCAATAGTGTGCTCTACGGTTGCGCTGTAGAACCAATAAATGAATGCATCTTCAATCACTACGAGAAATGAAAGCGATGTAAACATAAACAAATCTAGCACCTTAAGAAAAGAAATAAAAAATCTTAGTTTGGAGCATTAATCGCTCTACATATTTGAATTTTTTTTAATGCTAAAAGGCTGTCCGAAAGCATTTCATGTATCCTTGATGTATAGGCGCCATATTAAATTCGTCTGTCTAAAAATTAACATAAAAGTTCATTGTTTTCCTAGAATTGGATGGCTGATTTTTCATTTTTCAAAACTCGTCTTCATAATACTATGCACAAGGTGTCTATAAGTACGGTATATGCAAAGTATTATTTCAATATTGGCAGTAACTTTTATCTGAATTCACCCTTGCAGGTGAATCGCTGCGATTATTTAATCTATTTGTGCGTCTAATCTGTTCTGTTAGTAATAGTGGAGGTGTGATGGATGAAGTCTTTTTACCTTATAATGAAAACCAGGACAGCATACGCCAACTTGGACTATTTTTGGATCCTTCATGATGCTAGTTTGACTATCGAAGGTCGGGTTTAAAACGCTTCAGTGTTTACAGTCTTGCTCTACGCCTATGAAACTTGGCCTTTCGTAGCTGAGGATGTATAATGACTCTGCCTGTTTGATCATCGCTGCCTCTTCAAGTTTACAGCATCCTGTTGCACCCTCATTTAAGTAATTCTGAAGTCTCTGGACATCTTGCAGGTTGTCCTGCATTAAGTCATCATGGAACACTGTCTTCGTGGGCTTAAACATGGCCTCGAAATGTCATCCTAGTGACTCCCACACTTTTCGCCCTGAGACTGGATGGAAAAGACAACAGAATAGTCAGCCCACGATGTTGTACCGTAGAGTGGAGCATAGCTGTGCTAAGTTAACTTCTTTTGGTCCATCATGATTCTTTTATCGTGGCCCATGAGATTATCCGAATCAGTGGCTTTGAAATCTTACCAGATGTGACTGGAAATTAAGATCAACCGCTGAACATCCTGCAACTTACTCTGTTTTGAAAGTATCTTTCTTGATAAGTATTCTTGGTTGCTTCATGATACTATTCCTAGATCATTCTTCTATCTTTTCCTTCGTGGTATTTATGTAAAGCAACGTTTGATACCCGCATTGTACCAAGTTTATGTTTCAAATTGAAATTCACTGAAGACAATTTGGGTTAAAACAGTCAGGTCTCATATTATTGATGTGATTGCTCATTTCCTGAAATGAAATTCAAAGGGTCATGTGAAAGTCAGTTATTTCTGTCTCAAATTATTATCTTTCTATTAATGCCACACCTTCACACATACACACCCTACGTGCATAACTAGAAACTGTCCTTATTACAAATGATTTCAATCTCAAAATTTTATATCTGGGTGGAGTTTCGCATGGCATTTTATTTTTTACTGTTTATTTCTTTATTCACTCGGCCTGTTTTTGCTTGTACTTTTGCTATTCAACCCGTTTTCTTAAGTGAATTTCGTTTTTAAATCTTTTCTACTCTGAAAACTTGTTTGCCTAGCAATTTACTATTATTATTCCCTTGACTTTCCGGTGGAGAATAAAATTCCAGTAGCGAATAGCCATCTTCACTCTGTTTTCTGCATTCTTTCTAAGCTAGCTCCATGTTCGACTCAAGCTCTTTTATCCTCCTGTATGTCACCGTCGGACCAATACCCAAATGATCGTTTCCCACTCGGTTTCCGCTCCATGACCTGGCGTATGATGTCACTCAATAGTCTTCTCAACTTATGACTAATCGATCCGTATGTCTGTTGGGCAGAAGGTTCATCACCAGAGTTCCTTATTGTTTATCCTTTTTGGCCATCTGATCTCTAGTATGGGGCAATAGCAGCTGCTTATGATAGTTTGCAGACTGTTGGCTAGTAATTTATGCGCAAGGTGTTTTTTTTAATGGAAAAACTGACTGAAGTTATGAGATAAAACAATCACTTCTAATTGTTTATTTCTACTAAAAAATCTTTTAGTGAGGTGTACTCCTCGTGCACAGAAGTGTTCTTCGTATTTCCGTAGTCAAAGCTTTTTTTAAATGTTTTAAGTTTAACATCACTTTTAATACAAGAAATTTCTATGACTAATGAATTTAATGGGATTTTAACCAGTGGAATCATCCGGTGAATTGTCTCTTTTCCCTACTTTAGGGATAGATCCATTTCATATACACCTCTTATGTGATAATGACTTAGTGGTTAATCACGTTGGTCCAGAGGTTCAATGAGGTTTCTTCACTGAGGTTTAAGCCCCTTATCGTGACTGAATTCCCACTCTAATAGGTGAATGATAACTTGCGCCTTAACATACTTAACTGTCTTCCATCCATACTTCTGAATCATACTCTCCAGTGTCTAATGCTTCTTTGTATTATTCTGATTCAGGACGAAAGTCCACCTATGCTACTGTCATTATTGGTTCTTCTTCAGTAAATAGCATTCAGGTGTCATTACATAGTTGGAAGCAGTAGATAGGATGTCCTGACATAAGTCTGGTGCTCGTTAGAACTCTTTAGCGAGGAACCGAAGGGAGTCGGACATGGGTCACCTAGAGCTGTAGTTGGAGGCGTTACCAGTGAAAGATGTGGGTTTAGAATTCACCTCTTTATTATGAGTGCAGTGTTCTACATTGGTTGTTAAGTTACTGGTTATCCATCAATGTAAAAGTAAGTATTGAAATGCCCTTTCCACAAGGGTAGCCTTTAAGTTATGAAAATGAGGTGATATAAAATGTCAATAAATCATATTGTCGTCGTTCTTCTATGCTTAAACGCAACTATCAGCAAGACCCTATGATTTTTTAGCAATGTATAAAAACAAGTAAATTGTTTTCTTATAACATAATCAAACACTACTAGTACATGGTTCTTAGTGTACTAAGCTATGAAGCACAATGCAGATTCTCCAGTTGTCCGAATACAGAAGTAAGCCTGAGAGAGAGAGTTCGATAGATGACTCTAATCTGGAGTTTCCTATTAAATTGAAATCAACCAACTGATAGTTAGTGGAGAAATAGTTCAGTATAGATTCGTGACTCATTGATCTAAGCGTTTTACTTCCAACCAGAGGACCACGGGATTGAACCCCACTTCAGCTACCGAGGTTCGTGTAGCCAGATTGTATTTTTACTTTTTTTACTTTACTTCGGCTATCTCCTACGGGAGGATGAGCCGGCTTCATGAACGTCTCGAATCATCGCTGCCCAGGCGCGGCAATTTGTAAGAGAGTACATGAAGTTTCATGGGAATTTGGTACGAGTGATGTCCCCAGAATCGCTCGGCCTTTTGTTTGAGAGTGCAGCTCTAGCCTTTACACAACCAAGTGTGACCTACAAGGCAGTAGGAGTGGAGTAAGGAGTCCACTATCCATTGGCAGCCGATGACCGGAGTTCGGTTCATACGCCTTTTTGAATGGGGCCAGACATCCAGGACATCCAACAAGCCCTTTGTCCATACGTCTGCCGGTGAGCTCCAGTGAGCTTCATACGCCAATCGTTGGAGTTTTGGAATCAGGGTTTAGCCATCTCCCCTAGACTGTCATCCAATGAACAGTCAACCCGGTGGAGAGCGCCGGGCATCCGCTTTCGCCCTCTCACTTTGGTGAGAAACACCTCCGCCACGTGAAGGCAGTGAGTAGGACATCCTCAGGAGAGGCTATGTAAGACGGCCGGTCATATGGGAGCATTTCAAGAGGTGTGCGGAGGGGTGGCCAACCCGCAGCGCAAGGCACCCACCCCCGACCATCCTGAGGCTTTGGAGCCAGATTGTATCTCCAGCCTTCACACAACAAGTGTGCCTCATTACCAACTGTATGGAATTGTAATTCCATTTCAGATAATTCAATACTTTGTGGCACTAATGGTTGTCACTTACTATTTTCCTCACAATTTTTAATGTTATTCCTGTTGTTCTCTTTTTCGCCTAATTTAAACAGAATTAGTACAAGAAGCAAGGTGTGTACTTCTAGTCGGTGGTACAATGCAACCCTTTACTGAGGCCATTGAACAAATTTTTCTACCAGCTGGTAAACTAACCAGTCAAATAGTCACCTTTGCATGTGATCATGTGATTGACGCTAAAACGCAATTAGCTGTTTATCCCTTAGGCGAAAACTGTCAAACTGACGGGAAAGTACTGTCTTTAGATTTTACGTACCAGGTCAGTTTACTACATTTCTGTTTTTCTTTTCCTAATTGTTACTGTTTATACGTTACTTGATGAATAGTGACCAGTGGTAAAATGCATGATACGCATTTCGTCCTATTTATGAGTCGTCATCTGGATGTACCTGCAGTCTCTAGTGATTAATGGTGTCCCCCTTAGAAATCGCACTCACTACCCATCGTTTCAAACCTCAAAGCATTATCCGTTAGACCACCTGGACTACGAGATCCATCTCTTGCGCAGCAGGTATCAGTTATTGTTTAAGTCAATCAACGGAAAAAACAAAATTGACATAAACAAATATTATCATTTTGTGCTGAGACTTGAAGTTTGGTTATATTCTAGGACAACATTTTAGTAATCAACTAAATGAAGATTAATCAATTATTTCTATTAGATTTAGTTTAAATGATATTTAGGTGTCAATATTTGGTTAGATTATAGTTTACTGTACAATGTTTTTTCTAATCCTTGAGGTCTACAAGTTATAATAGGAAATTTTGCAATCCAGCGTTCTACCTTACAACTTTCTGATTGAAAGGAACCCTTCTCTTAGATTCTACTATTAACCACTAGTAAGTAATTTACATCAATACTAAATCCTTTTCACTCAAAGTTTTTGGGCAACCCCTTGATATGGTTGCGCTTAATAACCTGTTACCGTAGCTACTGAATTCCGTATCTATCCTGAAGTGAACATGTCTGTTTATGAATACGTAACTATGGGATAAAATCAACTGTTTGGAAGCCAAGAAGTATTTAAGATGGAATTCTCTTTCGATTTCGATAACGAGTTCATTTCAGTTAGAAAACCACTGAAAACCATGGAGTTCTAGATAACTGTTTCGTCTTGGTTTTGAGCTCGTCATCACAACGCACCCTTTGGGGTTCAGACCCAGTACCTTACGGTTACAAGGCGAGCTCGTAAACTATTTAGGTACTAGGATGGAATTCAATGACCAAATATTTCTGACTTTCACCAGTTCACTTTCACCAGCCAATGTTATCGGTAAGTATCTGTCCACTTTCCACTTAGAACTTCAAGCAACTTCAAATAAAGTCAATTCGTGATCAAAATTGAAATAAAACTAAATCCCTACAAACCAACATTTGGAATTCTCTTCACACTATATCAATTTTTTTAGAAACTAATCTGTCTCAGATCACAATGTTATGAAATAATAGAGAAAATTTGTAGCTCAGGTGGGTGATTAGCAATAATTAATGTTCTCTGAGCTGGTTGGTTTAGTCTAGTGTATACTTTAATGTGTGTAGTTTGATTAGCGCTGTAGATGACGTGGACACTAAAAAGAGAGGAGCTGTAAGACAGTTACCAATAACTCAAGTACAATAATACCGTGTTTTTCGGCTAAAGTAATTAATGTTGATTGAACTAGTTAGGCTTTACAACAATAAAGTAGATTAAAGCTGGATGTTTAATGACGCCATTCGCAGTAATTACTATATCTGTTTGCGGTTAGTTAGTTATTTTGTGATTTTCGCAAAGAATTACCACCGTATATTGTGTGATGTCTGCTCCTTTTGGAAGGCGTCTTAGTAAAACTAATTAAAGAAACCTACTTGTTTCACACTGCAATGAGACACAGAACTCCAAGAGTATCGTTATTAAAGATAATTTTGATCACCGCCAATATTTTTAGTAATTCGTGAGAAATAATTTTCTTCAATCACTTTATTGATAACTACTCTTTAATTCCTACGGAGAGACTGGATTTGATTAGTAATTGTATCAGGATTTGACGGAAACGAATAAGGTATTTCGATGTACTTACTTTCTGTTATGTCCTAGTTCCCCGTCGCCAAATTGTTATGTACTCGTCGCTAGATTATTGTTATGGTCTGGTCGAGAAATCTAATAGTCCTGACGCGAGAAGGCGGAAATCAGAAGACCACTAGGTTTGCGATGATACTTCTATTGTCCAAACACAAGGAGACGAAAATAAATGGTCTCACACCAAAGTGGTAAGTAAGTGAAGTAGTTGTAAAGTAAAGTAGTTGTAAAGTGGTTCACACAAATTGTGAATGCGAATATATATAAATAATTCAGACAAGCGTGGGAAAAATCATTAGACAGTCTTAACATGAATGGCTAATTATAATGGAGTGTCGATCCAATTATACATAGCGAATATAGCAGACATGCCAACAAACATATATGGATATATGTCACCAAGCAACGGACTGTCAACAAACACTCATATTATATATAATATAATATAAGGAGAATACACATTATTAAAGGAGACAAGTCCATACAAATGAAGTGGTCACAGACTAACCGAGCAAACAGAAAGAGAGACCAACATGCACACACACACATAAATATATATATATATATGTGGATACATATCACTTTCCTTGAATCAAGCTATTGTGTCTTGAGTGTTTACTGAAATCTATGCATGTCTGTGTAATATGTTCGTTGATGAGTGACATCTAATGCCTTTCCACTGACTAGCCTTTCCCAAGAATGTAATATCGCAATACAACCCATTTCAGTAGGCGACAATAACACTTCCCTTAACCTGGTAATCAGTATATTGCTATCAACACATTCATGCTGGTTATCATCAGGTGACCAGTTCTTTCAAATAGTAAATCGGACAGGTAAAGTTTTTGATCTTGATCCTGAGTGATACAGATTTGAAACTTAGACACAGTAGGAGTTTCTTCATCACTTAAGATAGGCTTTACTATTGAATCCTAACAAACAGAAACCCTTTTCTCTGTTTACTCCTAACGTATGTTACTTAAGATATGATATAATATAAATACAATAAGCACTACACTATTATCGAAACTAAAAGTTTTTTTTTCAGTGTCTTCCATCTTGAGACACTGAGGTAGAAAAGACCCGAAACCGTGGGAAGTGTTCTAGTTATGAAAATTTGTCACGTGTGTATGGTGTGGGTGTTTTCGTTTTGAAAATATTCTGTATTACCTGTGCACTTAGTTTTCATTGTCTGTATTTATTCGAATAAATTGCACAATAATATTTCCTCCATCATTTTCTTTACATTTTTGTTCAACAACAATCACATATGTAATTGTATCAATTTTCATGAAGTGAAATATTTTTTTTCACTTAGTATTTTGATCGCAAAGTTGATTGGGTCGTTGACGGTGACTTTGATTTATATATCTTAATAGGTCTTATATCTGTATTGACATTTCCAAAATTTATGTCATGGAGTAATATTATAGTCAGTGCGTGATTACCTGCATTTCTTTTCAGCGCATTTGTTAAGTCCTTTTGTGGTTTGATTTGGGTTGTAACATAAACTTAAGCATATAGTTAAGTTATTTCATGATTTTGAAGCTGATATTCCCTGGGTTTGAGTCTTGCCTTGCAACCGGGTATTATCGCCGGCACTCGTAGTCAGGCATATGAAAAGTCTTTTCCACATAATTAATTTCGGATAGCATTATTTGAAGCTATAATTCGTTTACAGAGATGCTCAACTTCCATCTAAATGCGTCGTAATTTTGAGTCCTGCTGTGCATACTACTGTGAATCATTAGGTGTTGGTTTGAAGAGATCTGATTGGTTGACGTGAGTTGATATCAGTTAAAGAACCATTAGAAAACCAGGGATTCCTGGGCAGTCGTTTCGTCCTAGTTTGTGACTCTTTATCTGAAGTACGCACCCACTGCGGTTCGAACCGAGAACCTTCTAGGCGAGCTCGTAGACCATCAAGTCACTAGACCCCAACCTGATGGCCCATGAATTCCAACTTCTGTCATTTCGCAATATATCTTCGGCGAGCTGCGCTACATATATATACATATATATGGCGAACTGACAGAAGTTGGAATTCACGGACCAGTAGTTCGGGTTCCAGTGACCAAATAGTCAATGAGTTTGCCTTGTAACCTGAAGGTTCTGGATTCGATTACTGGTGGTGTGTCGTGGGTGCGTACTGATGAGGAGTCCAAAACTAGGATGAAACAGTCCTCCAGTATTCCCAGGTTTTCGAATGGTTCTCTAACTGATGTCAACTCGTGATAAAACTCGAAATCTATAAATTATCACATCATTGGTTACTTAAGGTGTATGATATCGTCAAGAAACTGAAGGTGTTCAACTAGTAAAATGTAATTATCACTTGTTTGCTACAGTGTCAATAAAGAACGTGTATTAAAGAGAGAAGAGGTAAATAAACCGATGCAGTTGTACAGCTGCACTGATTGAAATTATCCGTAGGTGGATTATATCTGCACACTCAGACAACTCTTGTTTATGCTGTTTCCCTAAACAATACAACTCTTAAGTGATTTTTTTTAGTGTCGTTCCACTTAAATTAAGAGTAATGATTACTGTCCCTTAATAATAAGTTAATTGTATCATTTCGATTATAACACTATGTCATAAGAGTTTTTCTATGTTGATCTCGTTGAATTTTATCCCAGTCTCAGTAGAATTAATGTAGGGGTCGGCGGTTCAGTGTTAGTACACCCGTCAACCACGCAGGAACTTCAGGCTCCGTTCTCAGCCAGCGCACAACCTCCCTGAAAGGAAGAAAGATTGGGCTTCAGATTAGTGACTCCGCACCATCGCTACTGAAAATCTGAAGTTTTGAAGTCTAATTTTTGTTTACTTGGAATAGAAGAAATGAAAAACAAATTAGAGGCATATTCCTACTTTTGTTTATGCTATGTATGCTTCAGTGAATTTTACCAATATATCACTCCTTTCTTCGTATTTAAAAGCATACCAATTAAAAAATGCTTCAAAATTATACATGTTGGTTTATAGGAATATAAGTGATTATAAGTTAGATTTCATCATAAATGGAAATCAGTTAATGAACCATTTAAAATCAGGGAGTATTGAACAGCTGAATATATAAACAGTTCTAACTCAATGTAGTAATTTCACGGTAACCAGAGAATAGCTTAGTGATACAGACCTACAGCAGTTGGGGTTATCATGTTTCAGAATAGTACATGAAGAAATAGTGAGAACTATTGAA